GTACCCAGTGCCAGTGTTGTAGTACCCAGTGCCAGTATTGTAGTACCCAGTGTCAGTGTTGTAGTACCCAGTGCCAGACTGTTGTGGTACCTAGTGCCAGATTGTTGTAGTACCCAGTGCCAGTGTTGTAGTACCCAGTGCCAGTGTTGTAATACCCAGTACCAGATTGTTGTAGTACCCAGTGCCAGTGTTGTAGTACCCAGTGCCAGTGTTGTAGTACCCAGTGCCAGTGTTGTAATACCCAGTACCAGATTGTTGTAGTACCCAGTGCCAGTGTTGTAGTACCCAGTGCCAGATTGTTGTAGTACCCAGTGCCAGTGTTGTAGTACCCAGTGCCAGTGTTGTAGTACCCAGTGCCAGTATTGTAGTACCCAGTTCCAGACTGTTGTAGTACCCAGTGCCAGTGTTGTAGTACCCAGTGCCAGTGTTGTAGTACCCAGTTCCAGACTGTTGTAGTACCCAGTGCCAGTGTTGTAGTACCCAGTGCCAGTGTTGTAGTATCCAGTGCCAGTGTTGTAGTACCCAGTGCCAGTGTTGTAGTACCCAGTTCCAGACTGTTGTAGTACCCAGTGCCAGACTGTTGTAGTACCCAGTGCCAGTGTTGTAGTACCCAGTGCCAGTTTTGTAGTACCCAGTTCCAGACTGTTGTAGTACCCAGTGCCAGTGTTGTAGTACCCAGTGCCAGTGTTGTAGTATCCAGTGCCAGTGTTGTAGTACCCAGTGCCAGTGTTGTAGTACCCAGTGCCAGTTTTGTAGTACCCAGTTCCAGACTGTTGTAGTACCCAGTGCCAGTGTTGTAGTACCCAGTGCCAGTGTTGTAGTACCCAGTGCCAGTGTTGTAGTACCCAGTGCCAGTGTTGTAGTACCCAGTGCCAGTGTTGTAGTACCCAGTGCCAGTGTTGTAGTACCCAGTGCCAGTTTTGTAGTACCCAGTGCCACACTGTTGTAGTACCCAGTGCCAGACTGCTGTAGTACCCAGTGCCAGTGTTGTAGTACCCAGTGCCAGACTGTTGTAGTACCCAGTGCCAGACTGTTGTAGTACCCAGTGCCAGTGTTGTAGTACCCAGTGCCAGTTTTGTAGTACCCAGTTCCAGACTGTTGTAGTACCCAGTGCCAGTGTTGTAGTACCCAGTGCCAGTGTTGTAGTATCCAGTGCCAGTGTTGTAGTACCCAGTGCCAGTGTTGTAGTACCCAGTGCCAGTTTTGTAGTACCCAGTTCCAGACTGTTGTAGTACCCAGTGCCAGTGTTGTAGTACCCAGTGCCAGTGTTGTAGTACCCAGTGCCAGTGTTGTAGTACCCAGTGCCAGTGTTGTAGTACCCAGTGCCAGTGTTGTAGTACCCAGTGCCAGTGTTGTAGTACCCAGTGCCAGTTTTGTAGTACCCAGTGCCACACTGTTGTAGTACCCAGTGCCAGACTGCTGTAGTACCCAGTGCCAGTGTTGTAGTACCCAGTGCCAGACTGTTGTAGTACCCAGTGCCAGACTGTTGTAGTACCCAGTGCCAGACTGTTGTAGTACCCAGTGCCAGTGTTGTAGTACCCAGTGCCAGACTGTTGTAGTACCCAGTGCAGACTGTTGTAGTACCTAGTGCCAGACTGTTGTAGTACCCAGTGCCAGTGTTGTAGTACCCAGTGCCAGACTGTTGTAGTACCCAGTGCTAGACTGTTGTAGTACCCAGTGCCAGTGTTGTAGTACTCAGTGCCAGTGTTGTAGTACCCAGTGCCAAACTGTTGTGGTACCCAGTGCCAAACTGTTGTAGTACCCAGTGCCAGACTGTTGTAGTACCCAGTGCCAGACTGTTGTAGTACCCAGTGCAGACTGTTGTAGTACCTAGTGCCAGACTGTTGTAGTACCCAGTGCCAGACTGTTGTAGTACCCAGTGCCAGACTGTTGCAGTACCCAGTGCCAGTGTTGTAGTACCCAGTGCCAGACTGTTGTGGTACCCAGTGCCAGACTGTTGTGGTACCCAGTGCCAGACTGTTGTAGTACCCAGTGCCAGTGTTGTAGTACCCACTGCCAGACTGTTGTAGTACCCAGTGCCAGACTTGTAGTACCCAGTGCCCGACTGTTGTAGTACCCAGTGCCAGAGTCCTCAGACACGCTCCATTAGCAGACTTCTGCAGGGGCTGAGTTGTACTTACCTAATAATAAATATGTTGTCAATGTTGCAAATTCAAACCTCTTGACATTCGCGCTCTCTGTTGCACGTGCAAGTGCTGGTATGGGTGGGGTTGGTTTCCACTTCTTACTACCATTCGGCTTGTTGATCACCATTATATAATACGAGTATTTCCTTAGGTTTCTTCGACCCATTTATGATTCCAGTTTCCCCCAATTAGACATTTTGTCCTATTTTCTCTTATTTGATTTGTTTTTATAGTCCACCTTGTCAGCTTTCCTCAGTATATTTTAAGAAGTGAGCGTATCCCTCAACTCTTTCTCTGTTTTAGGAGTCTTTGATTATGTTTTCATAACCTACCCTCGTTCCTTAGTCCTCTGAATTCAGCTACAAGTTTTGAAGTCCTCTATATTTAACAAAAAATGGGTGCCAGACTTGTAGTACCCAGTGCCAGATTGGACTATACAAAGTGCAAATTCCATGCCGGTACTGCGTTTTCTAGTACCAGTCTAACATAGGATGTGTAAATTGTCTAAGAGTCTTTTTTTTTTAATATGTAGTGCCCGATAATTTAGTTGGTAGCTTCTCATATTAGTGCTGGGATTATGTCCACTGCCAAGTTTTCCTCTTTTGTATTTTTGTAGTGACTCTTTGCTTGCGGTGTTGACTATTTTGGGTCTCCTGTCCACCTTTTCCATCTTCATTACCTTACATTTAATAGGGTTGAACTCCAACAGCAGTCGTTTGTGCCGACCGTAGAATCTCTGTCAAACAAGAATCCTACTGACTGGTCTCTAGTTCAGTCCTTTCTGCCTGCCAATTTTATAGAATATTCAGATTAAATGTGCAATTTCCATATCTCCGGGAGTTATTTTTGTCTCAAGTATTGTATGTAAAATTCTAGTTATCGGATGATAGAGAACACCTACAGCCTACTTCAGCCGCCATTGTCATACCTGTTCTTATGACAATGACCATACTGTCTTGTTGGTCCAAGTTCCTACACGTCACTGCTGTATAGACCTGAACTTTCTGGGTCAATCCACCCCCCCCCCTTGTGCTTCGTAATTAAAAACGTGGATTTTGTAAGCAGTATCGGGTATTGTGTATGCATCACTGGGTATTGTGTATGCATCACTGGGTATTGTGTACGTATCACTGGGTATTGTGTACATATCACTGGGTATTGTATACATATCACTGGGTATTGTGTACATATCACTGGGTATTGTGTACATATCACTGGGTATTGTGGACGCATCACTGGGTATTGTGTACATATCACTGGGTATTGTGTACGTATCACTGGGTATTACGCATGCATCACTGGGTATTATTATGTAAATACCACCGGGTATGAGGCACGCCGCTAACAGACTTGTTAGATTTCAACACCTCCGAGCGCTTGTAAATATAAATAATGCCACAAAATTTTAATTTTCTGACGAGTAGAAAAACCTGATACAAGTCACATCGCACACAAGACGGTTCACTGAAGGAATTTAAAAACCACTCTAATCTTACCTAACTCTAACCTAACCTAACCTTACCCAACCCTAATCTAATCTAACCTAACCTAACCTTACCCAACCCTAATCTAACCTAACCTAACCTTACCCAACCCTAACCTAACCTAATCCAAACCGTGCCTAATACAGCCCAACCTAAGCTAATTCATCCTAACGTAACAATATTCACGGTTAAGCCTCGACGAACCGTCTTGAGTACGATTTGACCCTTGCCTCGACAAACCCAGGACCCATGTAACATTTAGGCAAGTACCTATGAACCTGTACATCTTTTCAAAATATTTGGCGACTTTGTTTACATTTATTAAACAGTTTACGAGAATCGAAACTTCCAAACCAAATGTTATTATTGTTGTATACCAACCCGGCCTCACACTAGGCTGTTTAAAGCAGCGGGCGTCCTCCCTAGACGCGTTCATCAATATAATATGCATTAAAAATTGGTTTGTTCTCATATATAAATTAATATTATTATACATAAAAATTATATGAATGGTTAAGCGTAGGTTAGGTTATGTTAGGTGTTTAGGTTCTGTTAGCGATTATTTGTATTTGAAGTACGTGAGTGAAACTTGCCCGAACCGCTATACGTATTAGTGGCTTTAGGTATTGTATGTACTATCACTATCAATAAATCCAACATTATGTTTGTAGCTCATCATATATGAATGTACTTTCATGTATAAAAAATATAATTTAATTTAATAATTAATTTTAATTAATTTATAGAATTTTCGTTCGGACAGAGGCCGTGAGCGAAGCACTTGTTCTGGAAGTGTTCGGATGTCATCAGTTGTGAGTCGTGTGTAAACCGCTTTTCATTCATAAACAGGGGGGTTTGGCGGTTGGATTAACGAGCTTGGATCTTTGTATGTGAGATGTAAACAGCCTGGCAGTGCTTTGGAACTCGTAAACTGTTTAATAAATATTAACAAGGCTTCCAAAGATAAGAGCAAAGTTGTACAGGTTCGTAAGTAGATGCGTAAATGCTTGCTGAATCGTGGTTGTGTGTTCTGTATAATACTAATTTTCAGCCGTTAATTTCAATTCTTTCACGATGCCGGTTAGAACTATCTTCATTTAGGTCATCTGTTTGATGAAAGTTTACACAACATTTGATCATCGACTGGTGAGCAAATTGTTTTATCTACTAAGGAATAGTGTGGAATTGGGGGACACTGCGAAAGCCTCGTTTATCACCCAGGTTAGCCAGCCCTGTGTGTAGGGAAGACCGCCATGTATCACCTAAGTCATTATCAAGATAAATAGCTGTCAGTATAACTATATAATACTGTTAGTACATGCATTACATGAGAGCAGTTTATAATAAAGTTTTCTTCTGCATTGTATAGAATAGAGAACTGTTGAATACTTCACAGCTGAAGTATACAGTTCGGAAGAGTGATTAACGAACCGTTAAAGTGAATAAGCAGTGAAGGAAAGAATTATTGGATAAGGAGTGTGAACAGAGTTAAAAGCAGGATACGTGAAGAACACCTTACCTGACTGAATGGAATTATAGAATAACAATTGTGTACACAGTGGCGTCGTCTGCTACAGCCGCACCAGCGACAGTATGGGCAAAAAATCCGCGCATCAGGACAGTAGTAACAGCAGCAGCAGCAGCGGCGGCGACAGCAGGGAAACTTACTCCCCAGTGTACAGCAGAAGCAAAGTGCAGCATCAGCTGGAGCAGCAACATCATCAGCAGGAGGGAAGCAACAAGAGGCGCCGCGGAGAGGATAACTCAACCACGCAGGTAATCTACATGGCGGCGACCAAAACACTGACCATGTTGACGCCCGTGGAGGTACTAGAAGCCAGCGGGGAGATCCTGAGGTTAGCTCCTGCCGATGTCAAGCAAGAAGACGACACGGAGCTTCATCTCTTCGCCAGCCACCTTACCAAAAACGTCAGCACCTGTTCCTCGCCCCCGTCGACCTCGTCCTCCGTCGCCTATTCCTCCAGTAGTGTGGTATCCAGCAGCGTCAGCAGCGTCTCCTCATCCTCAAGTTATAATTCCCTCTTCACCTCGTCTCCGGTCTCCTGTTCTCCGCCTCCCTCCTCGCAGTCTTCCGCCGCTATTTCATCCCTCTTCTCTGTTCCTCCCACCCCCGCCTCCTCGTCGCCTCCATGTCCGCCCTCCAACACCAGTACCACCTTCTCCAGCAGCGACTCCATCACGCAGCTAGGGGGGAAGCAGCGGTGCCACGCCAACGCCAGAGAAAGAGACAGGACTCACAGGTCAGTGATAACATCTCTTAAAAGTCAGGTCGATAAACGACATATAATTACAACATTTTGTAAGTGCTAGGATGAGTGAAAATGACACTCCAGTTATAGGATAATCCACTGCTCCAGATGAAACATAATTAAGAGCACGTATGAGCGGGTATGACCAAACGTCCAGTGTGACAACACACGGAGAGAGCCCTGGAATATATTATTTACTAACACGCTTAGCTGGACAAAATTGAGCTGTAAAAAAGTATTCCTTCACAGGGATATGGCAAAGGAACAGAAAGCTGCTCCTTGAATGTCTGTGAGTGACTGAAGTAGTTCAAACATTCAGGTATCTCATACCATTTTGTCTAAAATCATTGATTTTTTGGCATTCAATAGTATACTGTTGAAGAGCAAGTGTTCTGCTCGTTTTTTTTCAAGTTTACAATTGGAATAATTAGTGTTGGAAGATGCTTCACCTGCATTTGCTTGATATAAACTCCAGCCTAATTCTGGCAATTACTATCAGACTGTGTGCTATCCATACACATTGTATGATTTAGATTTAACTTTTAGTATTAATTCTTTCTGCCCTTTAAATCCAGCGGTCGACCCCGAAGACGCATTCATCAATTTTAACAATCTGTTCATTCAGAACAGAACTTTTCTCAAATATAAATTAATATTATTATATATTATCATATTGTGCATATTTAGGCGCTGGTTAGGTTTTGTTTCCGATTCTTTGTATTTGTAGTACGTGAGTGAAGCATTTACAGCGTCGTGGTTCGAGCAAAAGTGGTCAACAAAGCACTTTTTCCGGAAGTGTTCTGACGTCATCAGTTGTGAGTCGTGTGTAAACCGTTTTTCGTTCATAAACAGGGGGTTTGGCGGATGGATGGAATGGACTTTGGGTCTTTGTTTATGAGGACGGGCTGGATTAGGTTAGGTTCGGCCAATTTAGTACATAATTTGAGTGACGTTGTAACCGCTCGAGAAGACGGGCAGCCTAAACACCTAACCTGACCTAACCTACGTCTAAATATACATAGAACTTTAATGAATAATAATATTCATTTATATATGAAAGGGAGGGAATTATTATGGGAAAACGCCAAGCCATTACGACTATATAGCACTTTGAAGGGGTCAGGATAAGGATTTGGAATGGGACGGGGGAAAAGGAATGGTGCCTAACCACTTGAATGGTCTGGAATAGAACGACGACCTCCATGAAGCGAGACCGTTGCTCTATCGTCCAGCCGAAGTAGTTTGACATTTATATATGAAAACAAACCAATTTTTAATACATAGTATGTTAAAGTTGAATGCGTCTTAAGGGGGGGGGGGGGTAGGCCGCCAGTTTAACGAGCCTGGCCTGAAGTCAGGTTACTTTCATTATATTTCACATGTGTGAGTTGGGTTATGTGTTTTCAGCCCCATTATTAAAATGTTCTCTGCATCACAAAAGAATGTTTTGAACTGCGTTTGACAGCATAAGCGACGTTAATCATTACTCTCTCATCGTAGCCAAGACAGTTCAAGGTTCTGAAATGATGTTCTAGTCCTGTGTCTTGGAAAGTAACTGAGACATCGTATAAGATGTCTTGAGCTCACACTTGTTCAACTGCCTGGTGAGCCAGCTAGTGTGATCACAGGCACGTTGTCGTCATGACATTGACTATAATCATTTAACAGTTAGTGTAACTTAAAGCTGACCTTTTGTTTTTTTTTCTTCTGTTTAGTTTAGTGTACAAAAACGCAGTAAGACATCTGATCTAACAGTTGTGTACTCGTTTTCACCTGTCTTAACTATACACTTCTTGATACAAAAAATTGTAAGGTGTTAAAAGTCCGCTTATGTGTGAGTTGTTATTGAAATTAAGATTAAGTAACATTTTATATCCCAACGTTTAACTACAGGTGATCGTGTCAGGGTACAGCCACGTCATGTCTCCCTGAGCGAGAGATTTAGGCCTTATCACTGAGCGGGAAACCTTGAGCGTGCAACCTCACACACTCTTGCTTCACCCAAATTGAATAAATTTATTGATTGAAATATCTTGACGGATATGCAGTAAGTAAGAAATATCTTACTTAGATACTTTTACTTAGACGTAAGTTAAAAAATATGTAAGTAAGAATAAGTAAGAAATAAAAACTGCGGTATGCAGTAAGAAATATCTTGACGGATATACAGTAAGATAATTGAGGTCACTCAACCCGTGGCTTCAATTATTTCAAACCAGAAGGGGTACCTGGCGGTGCCAGGGACAGTCAGGATGTGACTTCCCCATTCTTCCTTCTTCTCGACCCCTCTGTCTTCCCCCTTTTCCACCCCTTTCCATTTCCCCCTTCTCCCTCACCCTCTCCCCTTTTCCCCCGTTCTTCCCTGGCTGACAACCTAGAACAAACATTTCCATTAAATAATGAATTCACTTTTATTTTGATAACACATTTAGGCTCATCTGTATTTTTTCAGCTACCCTAGACTATATGAAAGTGAGTAGAGAGTGTTTCAAAAACTAGCTATGTGATGCAAAAAAATCCCCATTACACAGGATGGTTAGTCATACAGGCATGTGATCTGTAGTTTGCACTAGCAAATTTTAGGTGCATATGAGGATATCATCAAGAACACGAAAGTTAATAAAGTAATGGCAAAGCTATGAGAATATCATCAAGAACACGAAAGTTAATAAAGTAATGGCAAAGCTATGAGGATATCATCAAGAACACGAAAGTTAATAAAGTAATAGCAAAACTCCAGGTACCTCATGCTAGCGGGTCTGAATGGTCTAATTACTAGGCATTCAGTAATCCAGTGTGCGAGATCATGACCCAATTCCTGCTCACAGACTTTGCACCTGGAGTATTCAGGATAGGAAGATCCGTCACCTGTAGCCACTTCCACATTTTTAATAAATGCCAGGAATGTTAAGGGGGGGGGGGGGGAATTTGTATTACTAGGCTACACTTTTTATAAATACTAGGAATTTTATGGGGTGTATATATTGTCATGCTACACTTTGTTGTAAGTGCTGGAAATTATATGGCATGAAGGAATTACTGCCGGATCACTCGAAAAAAGCTAAAGTGAAATAATTCCAGCATGTGTAATATCGTTGTTCTTGCAGAGTGTGAGTTCAAACTTTTTGGTCCCATCTCTCAAGTTTCAGGCGACTTGTGCAGGTTTTTAAGTTCATTGGCCTATGTTCTATCTACATTTGAAGCTGTGTCTGGAAATAGTCTCCACCACTTAACGCCCTGTACCTTTTCCGTGGTTTTAATATCTGTGTCTAGCCTCCTTGATGTAACTTAATCCTAGTGAGGCTTCACATTTGATCCTCTGTATATCTGCTTCTGGGTGATAACTAGGTGTAGCAGCGCTGGTTCATCCTCTCCCGTATCCCTTGTGTCTACATTCAGTTTTGCTTATAGGGTACTATATTTATTTGCTCTGTAGGGTACAATGGTTATACCTTCCACCCGTCTTCCCCTTTGTTGTCCTCTCAATTTTTGTGATTAAAATTATCAATTACTAGAAGCTTTCCTCTCTATAACTTTAAGGAAGTTTCTATTGCTTTTATCATATTGTTCTGTGGGCGCTCTGATGTGTTGTTGAGGTTTGTATACACCATCATCGTGTCGTCTTTTGTCTGGTATGATAAAGCTTTGCGGGTTGATGACCTCTCACAATTATTATTCACAAATATTCATTACATTTGTATCATCAGTGCCAACCCATCTCCATCCTTGTTGCATCTCTCGTATTTCTGATCACCCGAGAGCCCCAATGGAATATTGAATCCAATATCTTTATAAGTTGCATTTCCATTGTTGTAAAGACATACATTAAAAATTCCTTTAACTTATGGAGATCTGATTTATTTGGGATTTCATCTTGATTCATTTACATTATTATTATGTTGCTAATCATTACTTGGAAGATGTTTCCACATGGCGACTGGCAACATGATATAGAGGTGAAGGGCAGAAGGGAGACATGCTAGCGTGTGTTATTAGGGAGTTTTTCTTCATGCTGAACAGCTGTCACTGAAATTTACTATCCAAAACCTGTTCATGTCCTGAAGTTCTCACTTGTGGGTTTGGCATGCCTAGGCTCCCAATGTCCCTGTCGAGGCACACTTCCATATATTCTTTTACATTCCTTAGCATAAAGTTTTATGCCTGTGGGTTTTACAGGTCAGTGTGTGGCCTAAATGTCATCACTTAGTGCTTCCGTATCCGACAATAGCTCTCAAATTGTTGTGTTACATCACTCATCATTATATATCATGAACCCTGTTCAGATGGACTGGACAGATGGAGCCCTACTGTTCGTGCATTGTTAAACGCCTAGAGAAAGACGTTGTTGTTTTGCCTATATACTGAGTTCATTGGGGCTGACTATCCCCAAGTGGGCATGTGAAGGCGTAAACAACGTTGGTTTCTTTCAATGCATTTTTCTTGGTGTCGGGAGTATTCTTCATTTTCCAAGAAAAACGCACTGAAAGAGACCAACGTTGTTTACGCTTCACATGCACACTTGGGGATTGTCAGCCCCAACGAACTCAGTATATGGGCAAAACAGCAACGTCTCTCTTTAGGCGTTTAACAATGCACAAATAACATGGCTCCATCAAGGAACATATAATCGCCGCACATAGAACGAGATGATCACCAGGAATATTTTGACGAGCAACACCGAAATAATTGATAGATACAATGACAACAGAAGATTGGACATCAGTGAAAAGCTGCATGCATATCAAGAAATCTAGATCAGCTAATACACAGTTACACTACCCACTTCAAGACCCCGGGTCAATACAGAAGCTGGACCGAATAAATAATGAATAAATGGATCAGGGGGGTATTAATAGGGTCATTGGATGTCTGTGTCTGCGTTGGCTCTGGGTCTTGAAGTGGGCAGAATGTAATTATGTGTTAGCTGGTTGTTGATTGCTGGTCTGGACCTCTTAATATGTAGTGCCTCTTGCCTCTCTATTTTCATTCTT